TCTACAAAAACTTCAACAATATTTGACAGCAAAGTTCGAGGACTTGAGCGTTTCGATAGTGCAGTTCTCGCCTCCTGAACTGCGACGGCTAGTTTCCTTCATTTCGAGAAGCTGGTCGTGTGCGCATGGGTGACAAGGAGCGACGATTGGGTGAAGGTGGGCGATCTGATGAAGTTTCCGGAGAGTCACGTGAAGACGTGCTTGACTGATGATCCGAACTTTTGTAACCAGAAGGAAGTCGGTCCGTGTAGTTGCTCCGTGATCGGACGTCTGTGTAGCCGGGCATGCAACGACAGCAGTATCGGGCAATATGGCCAGGGCCGCCACATGCAAAACAGATCAGCCGGTTATCGTGCGTTCGCCAAGCATTTGCAGTGAGGGGCACCGCCCATGTGGGGTACAGCCGAGTCGAGGCTATGATAGAGAGGGGAGGAGCCCATGCGACGGACGTCTGAGTAGGAGCGGGGACATGCGGCAGTATATTCAACGGCGAGAGCTGATGTGGATGCTGCCTCATTAGTGCGTCAGCGTAAGTAAGAAGCGCGGCGACAACGTGCTGCTCAAAGGGCACTGGCATAGCCTTGGCAAGCTGGTCCTGAAGCACATGTTGGAATATGGGAGCCAACGGTGTCGGTGGTCGCACTTGCTGCTGCTGCGGGAGCTCTTGGCACTGAAAAAACGGCAAGAGAGAGAGATGACATGCGACCACCTCACGCACAAAGTATTTCATTTGCACTAGAAGGCAGAAGTGATCACGGACAGCGTCCATGCAGTGAGTAGTTGGTTAGGCTGAAATGGACGACGAGTGAGATCTCACAGTCGCAAATTGGTCGTAGCTCTGGCACAGAGTTACCGCTTCAGACACCGTGCCAGTAGACTTCGCAAAGAGCATTCAAAACACGTCGTCGTTGACACCTTTCACAATGTGCTGAATTTTGACACTTTCGCTCATTGCGGCATCGACGCGCCTGCAGAGATCGAGCATGTCCTCAATATAGGCGGTAAACGTTTCACCTGGTTCTGTGCCCGTGTACGCAGGCGTTGTTCGGCACGCAACTTCCACACGACAGGCCAACCGAAAACGAAGGATATTGCCTGCTTGAAAACGGCCAAGTTTTCGAACTTGGATTCATGGTTTGTATACCACAGCTTTGCCACATTAGCCAAGCAAAAGTTGATGATGCTCAACTTGGCAGCATCATCCCACCTGTTTGGTCCACTGACTTTTTCATAAGACGACAGCCAGTCCTCGACATCCTGGTCTGCGGTGCTCGAAAAGATCGGAGGGTCTCGCTGGTGAACCAAGGACGGGGCAAGCAGCGGCCCCGAGGCGTACTGTCTGTTTGGTAGCGTCAACTTGCATAGTCGACGGCAGGGTGCAGGATTGGAGTTCCAGGGCGTAGGTGATGTGCTTACCCAGCACAATCCACCAAATGTGAAGGGGGTTTATTGAAGGAGCCGAGCAAGAGAATAGTAGCTTGAAAAGAACACAGGCGGACCCAGATGATGGTGCTCGATCGCTGATCTCGTGCCTTGTTCTCGTGGTGATAATGGTTTAGCCGATGGTATCAACTTCGTTCTTCTTTATTATAAATTGTATTTTTTCAAGGAGCTGAACATTTGTATTTACACCTGCTATGTCTCGAAAACAGCGATAGAAGTCTACAAAAATAAATAACATTAAGACATGCTGCTATATACCACGATAACTGTTACGCCTTTTCAGGAAACATATTTTTCTTTAATTTAAATTTCTATGCCCATTAACTCTTGAATCTAGATCCTACCCTCTACCCTCCTTCCTTCCTTCCTCCTCCTCCTCCTCCCCCCCCCCCCACCCCCCCACCCGGCACGCCGCCGCCATTCCGATGAACCCCGCGCCGGTGACCTGCCGCACCCGGCAATTTCGGTACCGTCGCACAGGTCTAGTATAAAGCCAACAGATAACGAAGGCAAGGAAAGCCTAAAGGGTGTTATCTGAGCGATTGACTGAACTGAAGTAATTGTAAAGTACAGTTAAACCTGCCTTTAACAAACCTCCATATAATGAATTCCTCGATGTTACACAGTTTTTCTATTCCCCGCCATTACTCCATAGAAGAACATGTTTTTGCAACGTCTATGTAACAAAAAAACAGCCGGAGATATCCTTGATATAACGAATTTTCTCCACGGACAATCTAGGAATTTTGCCCCCGATTTTGTCACTTGGGCCTGAGCACGCATCTTTCGCGGTTGTCCCACCGTGAACGAAGGGCGAAGCAGCGACTTTCGCGGTTGTCCCACCGTGAACAAAGGGCGAAGCAGCGACGCGCTCATGGCCCCAGCGACTTCGAGGCGAGAGCGAATGCTTGTAATTGTGCGCGGGTGTGCGCGAGGCGGGTAGGTGGGCTAGATGCGCCTCTCGAGCCCGCAAAACACCGTTGTCGCCGCCGCGGGCACATGCGCGGATGTGCCCTCCCCCTCCTTCCAATACAAAAACATAACAAAAGAACTACTTTTGCATTGGCAGTGCCGCTGCAATAAACCGCTCTTCGATTGCTGCAGAAGTCTGAGAACTGCACTTTATGTGACACAGGTGATCCTACTTTGTGTTGTCACGCTTTTAGTTAGCGTCACATATGTAAGGCCATTGTAACACAGGTGATGCTACTTTGCGTTGTCAGGCTTTTAGTTAGCGTCACATATGTGGGGCTGTGCTACATATGAGCGCTTTTCTGCTGTATCCGTGTCGTTCGCTTTTCGTTTTCAACGCAGTGCACGTGTGCATGGTTTCACTGCGTGCGCATGAAATGGCCCTCGACAATGTCCATCTTTGCTTTTTCTTTTCTCTCCGTTTCTCATCTTGTTTTTTTTTTAGATGCGGACAACTGTGTAGTTGATACCGAGGAGATGTCAGGTTACGTGCTGATGGAAACTCTCAGAGACCACGGTGACAATGACAAATCTTTGGATGTCGACTCGTCACACGCTTTGCTGTCTTGCGCTGCGCCGTGAGTTTGCGGGGCTGTAGCCAATTAGCTCTGGCAACACGACGGTGCGTTCAATACAAAAGCAGAAAATCGCTATGCTTTACGAAGTAAGGCTGGCAGCCAGCTCTTTTGCATCTGATATCGCGGAACTCCTACATAATGCAGGTGTAAGCAAATACGACCGCTTTTCACAGTCTCATCATATTGAAAGCGGACTAATGCTTGTCGTGATAGCACGCGTTCCAACGATCACGACCGCGCCATTAAAGGGCCAGTCAACAGGCTCAGACTTTTTTTTACACCCCTCAAAGAAGCTCGGCAATTCGTAGAGTAAACCACGGCGATCATGTCTTCCAAATACAGCGCTGTGTGCCGCAGAGGCCTTCCCCCATATTTAAAAACAATTCCCGCATTCCTTTCCCACGCCTGATCAATCCTCCTTTCACACACAGTGACGTAAAGTCGCCGATCGGCGACTTGACATAGCACGCAGCTCATTGATTGGTCTAAACCAGTAACAACGATGGGCTATACCTTCCCCTCCCTGTGAGGGAGAAGGGTGGCGAGGTTGTGCGAAAATTTGAAACTAGCTGAAACGAATGTTCTAACCAACATATAGCATTTATTCGCAAAGGTCTTGTGGTAGCATGTTCACAAAGCCAAAGTGCAGTTCTCTTTATATTAATTTTTGGCCATCGAGGTTGTTTAGTGGCCCTTTAAAATCGTTCACTGTAGCTACTCAAGTGACACCACCTCCCCTGTTTTTTGATATTCGTTCAACATGAGTGGTTTTTTTTCTGTTTGAGCATTCGACCGCAGTTTTAACATATGGGGGAGTGTTATCATATGCGATCTCCAAGTGAAATACATGGGCTGGCTCATTTTATCTTTGCTTAATCAGCACTGATAACATGGGCTGAGGCATGATAATAATTTGGACTAGTCATGGAACGCGGTGGCGATGGCAAAAGCCCTTTGAGAGTGTCCATATCATTGCTATCTCAATAATAATGCAGTTTTTCACCACTAAATAAGCATTTTGGATGAGCTCTGCCTATGGTTCCCCTTTTGTTTAGTTTGTGCGTCTACTTTTCCAATTTTTGCACCAAACCTGCACATAATAAAATACTCTTTATAACAAATCTTTTGGGGAATTCGTTTATTTCGTTATATCCAGGTTTAACTGTAAAAGTAAATGAAAGCAGATATAAGAATAAGGCAGAAGTGAGTGAATGATGTTCTCTTTACACTCTTTCTTTATTGTTCATATCAACGGCTGTGCCACCCACGAGACGACCCATTGAATCGATGGCACTGTATATCTGTTTCTTGCTGGTGTATATTATTTCTAGCTGGTGTTTCATTTGACCTTTACCGTACCTTCGTGCACAAGAGATGCAATGGCTCTGCCATTGTAAGCATGAACTTTCTATGCATAGAATGAAGTGCTAACACAACAAATAATGTCATTTTAAAAATGTACGGCATATAAAACGTCCAACTTCCTTGCATTGACCTATGGTCATTTTATAATCATCCAGCCCGAGCACTAGTTGCACCATAGAGTATTCAAACACACAGGATGTTTTTTTTTTTAATACAATAATAATCTTTTGTCTTCTCTTGTCTTTGCCAAGAGAACTCTATGACAAGGTGCAAATACTTTGCCACAGCTGAAGTGACACCAATGTAACAAATGAAAAAACTGGACTAATCATCGAGACTAACAAAGACTTGCTAACTTCTTAATTATATACTGGAGGGCAGCTTTTCATATGAGGAAGTTAAAGGCTATCCCAATATTCGGTGAACAATTTTTTTTTCACCAGTAACCAGCTCAGATAATGCGCAAAGAATAAGCAGTTTACTTGTGTGTTTCAGATGATGTGCCCCTTTTTTTCTCGACCTGCTTCTGATTTGACGTGACTTGACAGAACAACAGGTTAGATAAGAAATTCAGCATGTGTTTGTTTCTATACAATTAATGTGCTCATTTTGTTTTGTTTTTTTAACAAAGGAATAACTTACTAGGCAATGAAGAAATTGAAACAACCGGGACGCATGATGTGCTCCAACGTGGCTGCGCCTGCAATGACAGCTGCCCTTGTGAATGAAGCATACCTGCGTAAAGGATAAAATACTATTACTGGTCAACTATGGTCACAGGAAGAGCGCATTAAACGGAAATGGTGTTGCCATATTTTTTATGTACAATGCACTAAAATATTCACTGGTGCATAAAACACCAAACATTCTGCCGATGCAATGATGCATCACAGAGAATTAAAGGGTAAAAGAGGCAGTACCATATCAGTTTCAGTTTACCGTATTTTTGCACGTATAACCCACCCCTGCATATAATCCACACCCCCACTTTCAGCTCACCGAGAAAGAAAAAAGAATCCTCGCGTATTTGTGCAGTTGTGCACAAATTGTAATTGTGCAGTTGCCTGGAGTTACCGTATTTTCAAGTGTAGAACACCCCTTCTTCACCCTTCTTTTTGCATTTTCTCTGGGATAGTGTGTACAAGGTAATTTCATAAGTTTTAGGCATGGCATCTACAACTCAGTGATTTCAATATGACCACCTCAGGCACAAAGCACCATGTACTAGAAAGCCTGCATATGAGTTTCAATGCTGTGCGCATGTTTGCATGAACTGCATGATGTAATAAATGAAAAAATGCAAGGAATATTTTGTCATGCTGTCCACCTGCTTGGTGAACATTGGTTCAGTTCACACGATGAGCGTTGTGAAGACTGCAGTGAACTGTCGCTTCGAGTTGATCAAACACCCTTGCTATGAGGTGATACCTGGCACCCATTTACTAGCTTTTCTCAAAGTTGTAAAAAGATTTTATTGCTGGGTGGCATACGAACGTTACTTCAGAAGTGGTAAAAATGTATTGAAGTGTAGGAAGATTTATATTAAAATGTGACGCTCTTGTTTTGTTTGTGTCGTCATTATAAGTTGGTCTTGCCAGAAGCTAATTACCTGTAAGGTGCACCTATATATAGCTTGGTTGGTATAATGAAGTGTGGTTATGCTCATTTTACATTTGCCGTAATATGAACTCGAACAGAGTACTGAATTTGTATAAACATACATAATTCTTATCAACAACAAATTCTTCCAGTATCAACTTGGAGCTGTCACTCCCATAAGGTGTAGTTAAGTTATATTTATTGCACTTCACTTGAAGCCATCGAAAGCTGGCAGGTCTACTGCTGCATTGGTTAGGATTTGCCAACTTTATGATGATAATGCAAACCAAGTGGTGGTCTTCGTGTGTGTGCATGTGGGGGTAGGTAGCGGGCCATAAAACACAACTGCTAAACATCGTCGTGCCTTTTTAGAAATTTATCTTTTGTTTCATGGGAGAAATATCTTGCTTAGAGAACAGCTGAACTATTACAACAAATATTCGTGACGATAGTTGCCTTTACCTTGGTTGTGACCTCTGCGGCTATACAGTGCTGTCTATACTAAAGTGTGATGAATCGAAGTCGTCTTCTATGTCTGTGCTGTTATTATTATTCAAAGATTGACGCTCAGATTAATCGGAATCCACCAAAACTTGCCGTTTTATTTGCCCGTTTAGTTATGGCGTCGACATCAAACGTCGACGCCATAACTGAAATCACGAGCACTCACCTCTCTGACTACAAAGGAGCTCTTAAAGTCTCCTCGTGGTAAAGAAAAAAAAGTTACCGTATTTTCGCGCGTATAACCGGCACCAAAAACACAAAAATTTCAGTGGCAAAGTGGAGGTGCGGATAATACGCGGGGTTTTTCCTATAGTGCTGCTTCACAGCAATGCGTGTTGTGCTGTGAAGCCCCTTAACAGCGTAGCGAAGGCTACGGAAGCGGTTTCCGCAAATTCGTGTTGCTCCGCAAGTAGCACGGCAGCTTGCGGCCGATTTTGGTTTCGCTTGCTTGCATCGTTGAAGCGTTTAGAAAAACATTTGGGGAAAGGCAATTCGATTGTTCAGTCTAAAATCTAAATGTCACACCACAACTATATTTTTTGGACGTTCGCGGCCGCTCAGTGACCCTCCACATGTCCCTACGTCACGAACGCCATGTTTACTTTTGGAAAGGGCTTGCCAAAAAGGTGGTGCTGTCTAGGAAAGTTCCATAATAAATAAAGTAAGTTCCATAATAAATAAAGCAGTATTTATTTCAGCAAGGCAAATGAGATGTTGTAGTGCCTATAGAGATATTATCAGTAAATTAATGTACTACTTTTTGATGCGGTAGCAGGCATGCATTCCGGTTCTGTTGTTTCCAGGGTGCTGTTACAGTGTACTAGAAGGGGTAGTGCTGTCAAGTTGTCGCCGAGTGTGAGCGCTCTTTACCTCACTGATACCGCTAGTTCTCCACATCTCGACCCATTCGCCAAGCCTAAGTCGATCTGTTCTGTCACCATGAGTAGCGTACGGCGGCAGGCCTTCACGGCACAGCAAAACCTTAAGATCATCGCCGTCGCCGAGGAATTTAAAAATCGCGAAGCGGAAAGACGGCACGATGTGGACAAGTCCTGCGTGCGACTGTGGAGAAAGAAGAAAGAGAGCCTACAAGCTGCGCACCGCGACCGTAGGTCATTTCGTGGCCCCAAGAACGGTGCCTACCCTGAGCTGGAGGCAGAGCTAGTAAAGTTCATCGAAGATGTGAGAAGAAGGGGTCACGCCGTATCGACAGAGATGGCCCAAGTGGAAGCGCGGCGACTTTCGAGGGAGCTCGGCCTACCTCACGAGTTCCGTGCAAGCCGCGGATGGCTGCACCGCTTTATGAAGCGGCAAGGGCTCTCAATCAGACGGCGGACTACAATATGTCAACACTTGCCGGCTTCTTATGAGGAGAAGCTGCCCAAGTACGAGAGATATGTAATTGGCCTGCGAAAGCAGCACAATTACATTTTCTCGCAAATCGGCAATGCGGATGAAACTCCTGTTTATTTTGAAATGCCATTGGACACAACGATTGAGAAGACGGGCCGCAGTTCGGTGAGCGTGCTGACCGGCGGGAACACGAAACTGCGCATCACAGTCTTGCTTTGTGCCCTCGCCGACGGCACGCAACTGCGACCGTACGTCATCTTGAGAAGGAAAACTCTACCAAAGGTTCAGTTGCCTGCCGGTGTGGTGGTGCGTGCACACGATAACGCGTGGATGAACAGTGACTTGTTCGCAGACTGGATCAAGACGGTATGGGAGAAGAGGCCCGGTGCGATGCTCGCAAAGTGGTCCATGCTCATCCTTGACTCGTTCGGCGGCCACACAACTGAGGAAGTGAAGGACCGCCGTTCACGCAACGGCACCGACTTAGTTGTTATACCCGGTGGAATGACGTCAATGTTGCAGCTTCTAGATGTGTCGCTTAACAAGCCCTTCAAAGCGCATGTCAAGCGCTATTACGCCGAGTGGATTGCCGAAGGCTGCTACAACTTGACGCCGACAGGACAAGTCTGAAGGCCTGATATTGCCCTATTCTGCAAGTGGATAGCCGAGGCATGGAAGGCCATTCCAGGTGAGATGACGCGAAAAAGTTTCAAGAAATGCTGCATCACAAACAACATGGACGGAACCGAAGATGACCTTGTGCATAATAGTGAGGACTGCGGCTCAAGTGATAGCTCTAGCGAGAGCAGCGACAGTGAGTGAATTGTGACTGGCCTTTCAGAGAGCGTATTCTGCTTGCTAAATAAAGCTTTTTCTGTCTACATATGTACTATGTTGCTTGAGCAGTAGCTTTTGTACAGCCTTTCCTGTATATCAAATGTGCGGGCAATACGTGATTTTTTTTTTCTTTCTCGGTGAGCTAAAAGTGGGGGTGCGGATTATATGCTGGGGTGGGTTATACGCGTGAAAATAAGGTATACAGAGTGGTCAGTGAATGGTTGTGCAGCGCGAGCAGTCGTGTTTTTACTAGAAGACGCTGGCTGCGTCAGCCTTGCGAGGCGAGAGAGGGAAGCGACAGTTTTGAGGGCGTCTTCCTGGGCCGGCACAAGATGAGAGCATGTGAAGTGGGGGTGTGGACGGCACCGCCGCCAAAACGCGACATTGTGCGACTAAGAAATGCTTCTCATCAAAATATCATCATGATCTAGCCATCTGAAGTAGCAAGAACATGATATATTCCTATATTCCCCCTGTTCCCATATTAGGAAACTCAAGAAGTTCCTTAATATGGCATCTTGAAAAACAAAAACTACAGCGTTGAAATGAAAGCTCATCTACTGTACTTACTAGCGTCATGAACGCACTTTTTTTTTCTAAAAAAATCGAAGCAAAGTGGAGGGTGCGTTTTATATGCGGGGTAAATTTTATAAAAACTTTTTCGGGAGGAGCAAAAAAATGCGGTAATGCAAAAAAAAAAAGGGGGGGGTAGGTTGCTTAGCCTTTCGCAATTGACATACATGTACACTGTTTGGAAACGGCTTCTTTGTTGCACTTTACTCATCTTCAGTGGTTGATGGCACAATTTTCTGCAAGCTGTCCCCGCACCGCCCACGCACGCCATAAAAGCGTTTTGCGGCTATCTTTTCTCGTAATCCTTTAACCGCAACAGTGGTGCCTGCTGTGATCTCGACGGGCACCCAAAAGCGTGCGCTACAGTGAACTCTCAATTGAGTGAACTTCATGGGACCCAAGGAAATAGCTCACTTAACCGATTGATTGATTGATATGTGGGGTTTAACGTCCCAAAACCACCATATGATTATGAGAGACGCCGTAGTGGAGGGCTCCGGAAATTTCGACCACCTGGGGTTCTTTAACGTGCACCCAAATCTGAGCACACAGGCCTACAACATTTCCGCCTCCATCAGAAATGCAGCCGCTGCAGCCGGGATTCAAACCCGCGACCTGCGGGTCAGCAGCCGAGTGCCTTAGCCACTAGACCACCACGGCGGGGCCTCACTTAACCGAGTTCACTAAGCTTAATATTTACTAGAAGATAGAACAGCACTGGGCACAGCAGACATTTGAGTAAAAAGTGTGAAATGCAATTCATTTTCAGAAGAAATTTGTGATTTTCATTTGCACTGGTGCCCTTAAAGCACAAGAAGAGACAAAGCTTTCCAGAGAGTCTAGGTTTCTGTGCACTGTCTCAGGCACAGCTTGTTGCTGAGACACGAAGTCTCGCAACTTTCTAACATACTCTACTGCTTCGGCTAAAGTTACAAGATTCGAACCAGCCTCAGCCATTACGACTTCCTCGTGGCACTCTTCTTCTGGTTCTGCACAAACCCTCGAAACGATTTCTAAATCAGATACTTCTGCACAAGTGACAAGATTACTGTCACACTGCACATAGTCCTCAAATAAAGCATTACTGTAAATGTCCAGCTGTTGACAGACCTCTGTACACATTCCAGAGTCAATGACCACGCCATGCTCTTCTTCCTGCTCACTGACCTCATTGTGCTCTTCTTGCTCATTTGCATCCTGCATGGATAAAGGCCGGATTTGTGCCAGCAGTTTCTAATTGTAGCCTGTGACACTCGCCACCAGGAGCCTGTCACCATCATGGACGCCTGCCTGACGTTGATGGGCTTATTGTTCCCAATCCTTATATTAATTAAAATCCGCTGCACAAGCCGCCGTTGGTACTTGACCTTCAAGCTTTGTATGATGCCCAAGTCGAGCGGTTGAAGCACGGCGGTGCAATTTGGCGGGAGGTATTCGACACGCACATTGCTCAACTGGAGATCGACAAGATGTGCAGAGCAATTGTCTACAATTAAAAAGAATCTTTCTTTTTGCCTTTGTCATTTCTTCGTTTATGTTCAGCTGCCACTCACTGAAGAGATTCTTGGTCATCCATGCTTTTTGGTTGCTTTTGGGTGCATAAAAGTGAAGGGAAACCTTTGAAACATCGCGATTTTGCGTATTTTTCTACCACTAGTGGCTTGAGCTTGTGGCTGCCCCTGGCATTCCAGCAGATCAGCAAAGTGACCCTTGCTTTCGATTGCTTCCCGCCTTTGCAACTGTCATTTTTGAATGCGAATGTCTTGCCCCCCCCCCCCCCCGGAAGAATCTGATAAAACATACCAGTTTCGTCGGCGTTGTAAATGTCATTGGGTGAATATCCACTTATGATATCCCGTGTTTTTTCGTCCCTCCAGGTTCTCGCTGCTTCATGGTCAGCATCCTTGTTTTCACGCAAATTGCTTTCCACGCGATCCCATGCCTATCCCAAAATCGGATAAGCCATCTGCTACTTGCTTAGAAGCCACGAACATCCAGAAGCAGAACAAATTCTTTTGCTTTGCACTGTATCATCGGGTCGGACACCGGTATCTTTTCGCATCACAGGTTGCAGAGCCATAACGCAACGGCATCATCCACTGCTTTGAAATGTCCCATGCATCGTTTTCTGGTAGGATTGAACGAAGTTTCTCCTTCGAACTTAGATTTTTGTTTGACTATCATTGACGTCGACGGTGCAATTCTGTATTCCTTCGCAACGTCCACTTGCCTTTTCCCGCTGTCCAGACACAAGGATTTTGAGCTTGTCTGACAGAGACAACCGCTTCCTTTTCATTGAACTAATTACAAAAGTAGGCGCACAGCGTGTGAAATTTGTTGATGTTATAAGGGTGCACGGCACGTGAAATGCGCTGTTGTTTCCCGAAATGAAGATGGCCGCACAATATTGACGATGCAGACGAATGCCGAAGAGACGGACAAAAAAAAGAGGGGCGCCGGCGGTGCCGGCGAACTGATGTGCACGTGGCTCATTTTCGTCACCCGCATGGCCGCTATGCCTCGCCAGCGCTGCATGCAAATGCAATGTCGCGCCTCCGTCGATGGATGAGCGATTTAGTGGCGGTATCGGCTATACCAGTGCTGCAGTGCACAAAAATTCATTGAATTGATTTGAAAAATGAGCCTTGGTCCACGAATTAAGTTTGTTTAACTGAAAAATTCACTACTCTGAAATTCGTTTAACTGAAAAATTTTTGCATAGAATACGAACAGATAAAAAAAGACGGGGAACTTGCCCCGCACCGATAAAAAGAAAAACAATACGGCACGCAACAATGAACTAGGGGGGGGGGGGGGCGAGTTGAGGTGGCCGAGTGGAGTCAGCAGAATTATAAAAAAACGGAAGAGATCCAACGGGTGAGGAGGGGCCAGCTGTCGGTTAGCAGGACTACGGCGGATGAATGTAGGGGGTGCGTTTATTATGCGGGGGGGAAAAAATGTAAATTTTGACTCAAGATGAGGGTACACTTATTATGCGAGTGAGTTCATTACGCGAGTGAATACGGTATATGATGAAGATATGCTTTTTGAAATTTCTTCCAGAATAACCAATCGTGGTTATTTTGAGCACGCAGCTTCCATGAACTCCTCTTACAAAATGCATTGGCAAGCGGCCATGCGATAATTTCCAAGGAATTCTAGACAATGAGCTCTCTTTTTTTTAGTTTTTTCATTAGCCACCTTACGCTCTTTAAAAGCAATTTTAACCTACTTCGAGTTTAGTTACATCCCAAATCGTTTCTTTTATGCAAAAGTAGAGAAACTAAGCTTGTAAAAGCAAGTAAATATAAAAAATATGCAACTTAGGTAAAGACTTGCACTTTTCAAGTAGCATCTCCCCAGAAAGCCCTACACAGGCTTACCATAATGATTAATTTTTAACGGGCCACTTGACTGCTTGATAGGTGTGCAGTTTAAACTGCTCTTTCCTCAATTATAGTATAAGAATTGGATAACTATGCCTAACCATAAGCACTTGCCAGTTGAGTACACCTGTTTGTGTGTTCCAAGCTGTGTCCTCTTTAAGACATAAATGTTTACGATATTAAAGAAAAAAAGATGAGTCATACATACCTGCATCATAGCTTGCCCTGGGTACAGCTCTGTAGGAAATTGGTGGGGGAATGCTTGGAGGGGCAACTGGAAATGGTGGTGCAGCCACTGAGGCTGCCCAGTGAGGTATGCTGGCTATTGCAGGGTTGGCTGCATGATAAAAAGCTGCAGCCTGAGCACCTATCTGCTGCTGCTGTTGTTGCTGCGGATTGCAAGATGTTAGGGCTGCATGGACCAGAGCTCTTGAAGACCCTTGACTACCCAGGGTGATCCTGCAGCAAGAGGTAGTGAAAAAGGACGCTATTAGACAGCATGAACACCTATTTTAGAGTCTAATTTACTGATAGCATACACTTTGCATGCTTACATAGTGTGCTCTTGAGAACTTTGATAGGTGGCTTATAATATTGCTAAAATGTAATTCATGTAAATTTGTCATGGCAATTGACCAGATATACTATTTATCACTCAATCTGTAGTTCTTTTCTCAAAAAAACAGTGCCACATATTCAAATCAACATGGTATCCTTATTTCACTTTTTGGATCAAAAAGATAGCTCGATGATGGCTTCACTACATGACTGAAGTGTTCTGCAAAACAAAAAAATGTTTTTCAGGGCTCGATAAAAAAGTGAACTAAACAGCACAAGAACATGTCTGTGAAGAGTGGTTACTTTTCCAAAGATCCTAACACAGTCAGTGAGTCATCTTAGTATGATAGGCCTTGAAACAAAGCACGGCACAAAGGCCAACTCGGCACTGTTTCCACTAGTATTGTTTTTTTCCTTACTAGAAATTTACCGAAAAACTCTAGAAATCTTTCATCTGATGAGCAGCCATGGAATCCTTTGCTTTTACATGAGCTTTCATAGCCTTGTTTCACAAATGCAGCCATGTTTTGTGCAACGATATCAGAGGCAGCAATACAATGAAAGCTGCGAGCACAAAATGGACAAATGTAATCATCGAGCCAAAAGGCACAACTACGATGAATACTGCCGTCACTAGTTCCCTTTATGACAAATATTTGTTGACGACCACTATAAGCATCATCAGTCATTTGTGTACGAATTCTCATGACGTCTATACTCAACAGCCGAAAAAGATATGGCCACATTCTCTGGACTCCCGATAATAGCGATCATGAAAATGATCCTGTTAAGAGCAATAAAGCATGACACTAAATAAAATAAAAGAAAGAATCTTTTCAGACATCTGCACAAACATTTTTCAGAAAAGAGCCAATTGACACAAGTGTGCTAGTATCACATAGTCCCTGTTTCCTCAATCACAATTATATGTGACATCGACTAAACAACACACAAACTCGTTGCACTCAACAATATTATGAAATATATTATCTCTATGACATCACATACTTCTGACTTACATCACTGAACAGCTATTCAACCTTGCTAACAAGAAATTTGAAAATTGAAACTGCCTAAAGGAAGTTGTTTAGAAGATATCAGATTACGTACATATCACTACTGTTATTATGATTGCTAAGAAGTTCTGTGGTACCCAAGATAAAATCATCCCCAGAGAATTTGGAATTTGCATTCTTTTACGAGTGCTAAAAGTACAAAATATTAAACAGATTTTAATGAACAGACACATAATGTCAACGCCAACTAAAGAGCTGTTCTTTTTTTTTTTTTTTTAACTGCTAAGGTTGAATGTCAGTCCAAAATAGTTGTTCGACACTGAAAAATAATTGACAAACAAGGTGTTATGCTAGTACAAAAAATCTAAATACTGTGAAAACAAACTCTTCTGGGAGATCACAAGACTGTTGTGGAGTTTAAGCATCAGCTTGCTTATGGACTTGGACTGTTACACGAGAGCTTAAAGCAGGTGACAGCAGCAAAACTCACTTTAAATCGACTTGCCTCACTGCATAAGCAGTTAGAAACTAGGCAGCGAGTCCGATCTGTGTCGGACTCATTTCTTCACCACTGCAAAAGTGGAACACTTTTCTGCTTTACTGTAAGCTGCACTTTGGCTGCTCTAGCATGTTAGTATCCTGTTCAAAATTCATAAAGATGGCCCGGATGTGCACAGGGTTCTCCATAAGGAGAAGCCAAGTTTCTCCTCAGCTTTTCCTCCAGTAGAGTCAAAAAGAAAATAACTTTCACAATGGATGCAAAAGTGAAAACTAAGCGTTGACATACTTTTCAAAGACTGCCTGGCTTTATAGAGACAAATATATGAAATAAAGAGTTTTTGGAATGCAACATTCGAAGACCTTGGCTGCCATTATCATCGAAAACATGCATGGACATAACCCTCCAATTTGAAAAATCATGGGATAGGTCCAACCGAGTGAAGGTAGGAGGCAGACTTGGCACCAACCTTGGATGATTAAGGAGGGCCACCCCCTCCTCCTCCTTGTACACATGGCTATGATGTCAGCCAAACTGTCGGCAGTAACTCGCATAGATGCAATCGTAATTTACCACATGCTGCATGACCAACATAGCCTCTACAAGAATGCATTCCTTAAGAGTTAGATATGAATGAATATTGCCAAGGATATGAGAATCAGCAGAAGGTGCAGCAGCAGTACGTTGCTTTGTTTCAATGTATCTTGCTTTTGAAGAGCAGGGCAAATCTACTTCTGCCACTACAGTGGCGTTAGCTTATATAGATTCTGCTGCAGCATCTACACAAAACACAGTTGAAAACTTCAACATTGCTTCTTTGCCATGCTCTGCATGCAGAGCTAAAATTCAGTGCGAAATGAAAAGCTCAAAAAAAAGAAACCAGGTGGCATGTATTCACTTCATTCGTTAACAAACAAAAGGTAGAAGTGCCAAAAGCAGCCATGAAAGAAGTAAGGAACCAGTCACTGCAAAAACAGCCTGTTCTGCATGTTGACAATACATAGCAAGTGATCTATTAAGAGCTTGCAGCTGACCAATTGAAGGTCGCAGTTTCTGTCCCTGCTGGTGGCAAGTTATCTTTTTGTCCACTTTTTTATTTTCACATAGCAATCACTACTAACAACATCCCCTATATTTTCCATGGCATCATGGACTGTTAGTTTTCATTATTATTGTGAAGAAAAAAAAAATGAAGCCCTTATATTTACACTTCTTTCCTTCATTCACAGCAAGAGTTTCATTCTGGCAGACATGGTGCTTTCAGGTAGTTATGCGAGGAACTATTGGTCAGCAGTCAGCTTGTAATAAGGGCACATGCTACGTGACGTCAACTGGCAAAAAAAAAAGACAAAGTGTTCCTCACTCGCCATAACGGCTACTGGTGGTCCTGACTGACCCTCCCACATTTAAATGCACATATATATATATATTGTAAAGTGTATGGAGGGATGACCGCAACCGTAGCTCACTTAGTACAGATCGGAGGCATTATTCGAAGGTCGCAGGTTCGGACCCTGCCGGCAGCAAGTTATTTTTTCGTCCACTTTTTCATCTTCACAAATACATTACAATGCATTCCCAGGGACCACAACACCCTTTTTAGCATTCTCAACACCCATGCTCTCATTTAGAGTAACAATCTGAAAATATTTAAAAGGACACTAAAGTAAACAACAATTCACGTCAGAGTGAAAGCTCAATGTATGACAACATCTAAAACGACAATATTATCAACAGCAGTGTCCTACTTACTAAGAAATTAAGGTAAATGCACAAGAATACATGCACCACAGTAAGACATTCTCAAGATGATCCCGATGGCGTCACACAGACCGCCTACATTTAATCACTAGTAATCAATCTAGCTGAACTAAATAAACAACCTTCTGTGCATCAAAAGATGCAATAAATTGCTGCTTGTTCGTTTCTGTTTGATTCATGGAAGAAAGAACTGCCGAACGTTACTATGAGGAATGGTGCGGGTGGTTCGAAAATTCAATTTTCACGTGGTTAAACTGAACAGGTCGTGCCATCTAGCGGGGCCCAGTTGAATGAAAACACGTCTGCTATCTCGGAGCTAATGGCATGAAATTGATTAATGGCAGTTGTTGCAGCTGTGGCTTTCGCTGCCTTTGTTCTTCTGCTACTAGTGTGGGTGGCCGCGCAGTAAAGCCGGGCAACGTTGTGCACGGCAACAGTGACATGAGATGGTCCGCTTCTCGAGGTGGGTCATTTGAAGTGCACTAACTCGATGCGGGCCACTAAAACGCGATTTTATTTCAAAATAAGCCCGTTCTTGGCCCAAAAGTACCACTACGAGGTATCTGGACCTCGTAGTGTTACTACGATCGAGGTTTCAACAATGAACGTTGACTTAATAGTTGCTTTTATTGTCCCTTTAACTCCATGTCAGTACCTCCTCCAGAATCGGGTGCTCATGTAATGTTAAGGTGCATTCGATTCGCCTGCATAACATGAACCAAATGATGAGGTACTGCACCTTGCCATTCATTTCAAAAGGTGCAGCACTGGTTCACGATTTTACTACGCCTTCTACGCCGACAGTTATGGATTGGTGCGGCTGAGCAGATGACGCAGCACTTCTGCGTATGCACCGTGGCCACCTCTACTAACGCGGTGTGTTTTGCCAAGATGTTTGAACCTCATAAACTGTCCACATGTATGGTTCGCCATCAATCAGTGTTAGTTGAACGATCGAAATTAAGCAAATAGAGATAAGGCCTGCACCTTGTTGGCACATCGTCATTTGTTTCGGGTGTCGCGCTGTGCCTGCACCGCTGCACTCTCGCAGCACACTTCCTGAACTTCGCGTACACAGCCGTAAACCGGTTCCAATTGGTTCAGCTGAATCGAATGGACTTTTAGCATACAATGTTTCATTGTCCCGTCCTTCCACATTTTACGGTTCAACACATTTTCTGGGCAGTTATTTTGTAGCAATGCCTTTTCTGAGGCTTTTCTTTGTCATTAAAGTAAGCTTTCCCTTAGTAAATGGTGTGAAACACGAAGGCATTCCTTCCAGGTCTAAGCAGGCGCCATCGGTATGAAAGCAGTAGGGTTTAATGGCACAAGTTCGGTTTTGGTTTCACTCGCAACTGAAAAGGAGGAAACAACAACAATCTTTCGCATAATTGTGCCGTATCTGACCATTCGTGTTAGCCCCTCATGTTTTCAACTCCGGCGTACAGTAACTGCGAAGTTGACGCCAACATCCTAGAATTCCGAAGTGTTACCAAGGGATTGCCCAACTAGATAGCATCCACCAAGAATTATACTAACACATTTTTCACTGGTGTAAAACGTTAATTGTGAATGCGTAACATTCCTCTAATTACTCCTTAAAAATTTACAAGTAATAAAAGTGAATTTTAATATAGATTTGGCTTTGACCAACAGAATCAGTTAGTCGCAAAAGTGGCTAGCACAAGTGCCGAGGTAAACAATATACCACAGGAGCAGCACATGACCGAAAACAAGGGAAAAGCAGCGGAACGAATATATTATGCAGAAATTTCTGCCGAATTAATTTGCCAGGAATACTGCAAGAAAGATTGCAGCGCGATACAACAGCGTCAACAAAAACACGTGCGCTTATCGATAGTCACGAAGGGGGGGGGGGGGGGGGGATCATCCGACGTTATTCTCAACCACAATTCCTTACGGAAATAAAATCCAATATAACATGAGGGTCAGGACACCAAATATTGTGCGACTCACCCAGACGAATGCATCTTGGACCCTTGCTGCTTGTTAGACTGTAACTTCTAGAAGTCGACCGGGATTCCACAGCTACCGGCGAGCAGCTCGGTTCGCAGTTTTAGTTCACCGCAACGAAATCTTAACGATTAAGTTCCATTTCAGATGCGAACCAACTAAGGCGTCAAATATTGCAGCGGACCAACGTGAAAAGCAAGCACGGCCGCACCGCTGAAGACGAACGAATATGTGCAGGTGGTCGTGGATAGAACAAGGCGGCTAATTTCTGCAGCTCGGTAGGGATCACGGCGCAGCGCCGGCTATGTAAACAAAGCGTCCCACATCCCATGTGACCTCTGTCACTAAACTTTCAACTACTTTCAACCATACATCATCGCAGCATCGTAGACAGTCCACGCAAACAGCTTAAAAGACAGCACCGAGCCCATACTGTCCGCTAAGTGGAATACGTCTGAACAGCTTCCCTAGCTTCCACCACAGAATACCTATATAACTACCACAGCCTCCTAGATTTTCCTTGCCTGTCGGTTTATCGGCGATCACTTGGGAAGCGGCCGTCATCGGAGCTGCGGTGATGGCGCAACTCAAGTAAAATTGTCCTTAAATAGGTTTTTTTACATTTTTGAAGCTTATAAGCAACAAAAGTAACGTAAAATCTGTTAAAAGGCGTACATTTAATTATAACTTACTGTATTGTTTATTCAAAAATTTAAAAAATTGTTGGCGGACTTTTTGTTAGGCGGCGCGACTTACGTATGGTTTAAGGCGCGTTTTTTTAATGTTTACGACTACGCATTAGTATGAGCAGTGGTATGAGTTGGGATCCCACAGTCACTTGTGGGTTAACTATCACTGACAAAGTGTCAGTGATAGTGACTTTTGACATCAGGATGAAATTTTTAGTGCTTTTTGACGGTCATTATGAGATGAACAAAAGAAAAAAAAGAAGCCCGTGTATTTCTAAAGAACGCGTATTGGCGCTACATAAAATATTTAAAAAGAAAGAAGCGCGAACTCAATTTTAGGCATTATTTTTACGTGGTTCAGCTGCACTGTGGAGGACACCATGTAGTGGCGTAGCAAGGGGGTGGCAGACCGGGCACATGCCATCCCCCTCCCCCCTCATAATGAATTTTTTTCTACCATAGAATACATGGCACAAAATGACATATACTCGACCACATATACCTGTCCAGAGCCCATGTCGGATCAAGGACGGAAAGAAATTTCTGCCTGCGACACTGACACCATGTGTGAAAATGCGGAGCTGCCGCTACGGCGACTCTTACGACCATGTCGTGGTTTTTGCAGCTGAAATACCACAAGCTATTATGCATTCACCGATGCACCATGCGATTACGACGTCACTCTTGAAGCTTTGAAAGACGTGCTATTGTTAGGGATAAAAAAATTAAGTCATCATGCATCGCTCGTCGTAGTGATGAAGAAATAAACTGCGATAGGTACTTGAACAAATAATGCTTCATTATAGCAATAACGTCGGTCGTTGCAGTTCTTCAGTTCCTGTGATGAATTGTGCACACGAACTCATGGACTTATGATGTGTGTCGTTGATGAAATGTTGATGTCGTGTCCAAAGACCTTTTCAAACCGAAACCAAAAAAAAGTTCTTTGGAGTTTGCAGGAAAAAGAAGCGCTGTAAAGGGAAATCGTTTTACGGGATAGGCGAAGAGTGTGCACGCTTGCCGTTGGGTTTCGTACTCACGCCAATGGGCAAGTTGGAGGCCCTGGAAACGTCGACAACGCCCGTCCGAGCAGACGATTGTAGAATCAGTCTGCAGTTCTGCCAGCCGGGCAGATGTGAGCGCCAAAATGCCAGTGGGCTTGGCAGCACCTTCTTCGGACGGACTCTCATGCATTTCTGCTTTTTCGTCCAGATTGCCCTGTTGCGGGCGGATGCCGCCGTGGGATTTGCAGATATTGCCTCACCGCAAGACAGTACCATCGCGCATGCGCAGGGACAAGGCCTCGATGGAACATCATCATGGGAAGCTACGCCTCAGGTGTTGTGTCGACGCCATGACGTTCGCAGTGTGACGTCAGCGGGCACTGACCAGCTAGACTATAAAACCAAGGCCCATCTTCAGCGGCCTTTCAGTGGGCTTGGCAGCACCTTCTTCGGACGGACGCTCATGCATTTCTGCTTTTTCGTCCAGGTTGGTGACAAATATCCTGTCTATCAGTCTATTCGTGACGATTCTCTTACTTTGATAGTGCTGCCAAGCCCACAATGTTTGTTTGTTTCGCTGTGTGACTGTTTGATTGTCATTAGATTGCTCTTGTTAGCATCGGGGGACGTGGAGCGGAACCCGGGTCCGTCTTCGGAATCAGAATCCGAGGCTACTGTAAACAGTCAGCTTCTTAGAAAAATCTTAAAAGAGCAAACAAAAACCAATAAGACGCTCACCATGCTTTCTGCCAACCTGAAACAAGTGGAAATAACCATAGGTGGTGTTCAAGAAAGGATAGCGTCGATTGAAAAAGAGCTTCGACGGCTACAAAAATGCGAGGAAAAGCTGGTTGAGCACGAAGCAGCGTGCAAGGGGACGAGGGAACTAGTGAACGAGCTTACGATTAAAGTTGATGACCTTGAAAACCGAAGTCGAAGAAACAACTTGATGATTTATGGTTTAAGTGAAGAATCAAAAGAAGATAACAAATCTCTGCAAGACAGGGTTCAACAACAAGTATTTAAGGACTTACTCAGCGTCGAAGTGAATTCGATAGAGCGCATCCACAGAGGTTTTAAACGTGCTGGGAAACACCGGCCAATTATGTTAAGGCTATTTGATTACTCTGAGAAAACTACAATTATGTCGGCTTGTTTCAAGCTAAAAGGAACACAGATTTACATATCTGAAGATTTTTCCAAGAGAGTTCGCGACTTACGCCGCAGGTTGTGGCATTCGGCAGCAGTGGAAAAAACCAATGGAGCAAAGGTTTCGCTCTTGTTTGATAAACTGAAAGTAGACGATAAAGTTTATATCTGGGACGAGCTTTCAAACCAACGGCTGGAAGTTACACGACGTGATGCGCAGGCCCGGCGGAATCCTGGTCATTCTGCAACAACCCGAGTGAACAAGAGAAGCAGCAGTAAAAAATGACAGCCTGTGAGCAAAATTCTCAGAGTTGTTTCACTGAATGCGCGTAGTGTTGTTAACAAAGCCAGTTCCCTTGAAGACGTTATCTCCTGTTATCAGCCACACGTCTTAGTAATCACTAAGACATGGCTACATGCAGATGTGCAAGATTCGGAAGTCATACCGTCTTCTTACAAGATTAATTCGTAAAGATAGGGAGTCACGTGGGGGAGGAGTAGCAATCGCCATTAAAAACAACGTCGCATTTACTGGTTTGGATGGCATCAACAACCACGAAAGCGTGTGGTGCAGAATTAAATTTCTTGGTAAAAGAATACTTTTAGGGGGCGTGTATCGACCACCGAGTTCTTCGCCCGAATACTTAGAAGCCATTCAAGGCTACCTTGCAGATAATACAAATTCTCGATCCCGGATTATAATAACAGGAGATTTCAACCTACCGGGTATAAACTGGGCTGATTTTTCTTATGATGGCAAAGAATCTCGAAGTGCAGATATACTGATTACGACCGCATTCAACTTCTGCTTACAACAACTAGTTTCTGAGGCTACCAGGGTTGACAGTTCATCATCATCCCTCCTTGATTTGGCACTGGTTCGCAGCTCGTTCCAAGGTTGTTCAGCCAATGTAGAAGAAGGAACATCCGATCACAAGTTGCTTGCTGTGTCATGTCCTGTTTCAGGAACACGTTCATTTACTAGACCGTCGGATACTTTCGTGAGAGATTACACTCATGCGGATGATAACGCTATTTTAGAATACTTGGAATCGCGCTTTGATTATTTTAGCCAAGTTGATGATGTCAATGAAATGTGGTAAAATTTTAGAGAAATTGTTCTCTTTTGCGAGCAAAGATATGTGCCGTTAAAAAAAAGAAACGAGTTAATAGGGAATATCTGTGGTTCACGAGAGAAATGATTCATTTGAAACGCAAAATTAAGCGTCAGCGCAAGCGTCGGAACACGAGTGATTTTTCAAGCGTTACTTGTAAATTGCGAGAACTAACGCGATCGGCAAAGGAAAGCTTTTTTCAGATACTCTACCGTCATTCATGAAGAATGAACCCCAATAATTTTGGCGCTATCTGTCAAAAGATAAACGAGGCATTTCAGAGATCAGGGTCGTGGGAGAAAGTATTGTTGACGCGACTACCATTGCCAACAAATTTAATGTCTTTTTCCAGTCCGTTTTTACACGGGCAGCCACGCATGCTCAGTTGCGGTCATATGACTCTGATAGCCTTATGCCAGAAGTGGAAATCACTGAGGATGGAGTCCTTTGCCTTTTACACAAACTAGATGTAAAGAAATCCCCTGGTCCGGACGAACTATCTAATACTTTTTTGAGTAGATATGCTGTTTGGGTGGCAAAATATTTACACCGCATTTACACTGCATCGTTAGACGCTGCAGTTATTCCTGATGACTGGCGCTCGGCAAAAATAATTCCGGTACATAAATCGGGCTCCACTTTGGAAGTTAACAATTACAGGCCTGTTTTCTTAACTAGTACTTGCTGTAAGTTATTTGAGCACATTATATTTAAGGCCATGATCACTTACTTAGAAAATAACAAACTACTGTATGCCCAGCAGCATGTATTTAGGTCTGGTTTGTCGACCGTCTCCCAACTGGCTGAAATAACTGATGATTTAATTAGAACGCTTAATTCGAAAGGTCAAACCGATGCCATCTTTTTGGATTTTTATAAGGCCTTTGACGTCGTACCCCATCAGAATTTAATAACAAAATTATTAGCTATAGGCATTGAGCAGAAGGTTGTAGCATGGATCGCGAGCTACTTGAGTAACAGAAGACAGTGTGTTACCATAAATGGCTGTCTCTCAAAAGAGTTGGCAGTGCATTCGGGAGTTCCGCAGGGCTCAGTCCTCGGACCTCTTCTTTTTTTGGTTTATATTAATGATATTTATTTTTGTGTCGAGCCACCGATCCAGATTAAACTATTTGCGGACGACTGCGTAGTGTACACATCCATAAATAACCAAGAAGACCAAATTAAACTTAATGATGCCTTGCGCTCAATTAACGAATGGTGTATAAGGTGGGGACTAAAAATAAATCGTTCGAAAACAAATTCCGTCACGTTTACCAACAAAACGTTACCCCTTCATTTCACATATTTCATAGGAAATGCTGCAATCACGAGAGCTGATCGGGTTAAATATCTGGGAGTTACACTCACCAGTAACCTCAGTTGGGAAACGCACGTTGAAAATGTGTGTTCGGGTGCACTGAAGAAATTATCTTTTTTGAAAAGAAAACTGCGTAACACTCCCCCCACGTTAAAACTAAAAGCGTATAAAGCACTCGTGCGACCAAAA